CGGCCTAACCGAGTCACGAGCAGCCGCGGGCGGGACACGCCCGTCGCCCGGCGATCTTTGTCTCAGTGACCGCGCGCCCCCTTCCTGCGGTGACTCAGCCGCCCGGACCCCGCCGCCCGGGCACTTCCGGCTGGACCTTGGCCTCCCGCGGGGGCCCGGGCCTTGAACCTGGGGCGGTTGGAGGGCGGCGTGGAGCAGGTTGGCCCCGCTCTGCCAGTCCCGTTCTCCTCCTCGGTCGCTCTTCTCGGTGACCCGGACACCGGACACCTCTGAGTGACCAACTTTCTGAGCGCCCTGGGGCGCGGCCTCTCGAAGCATGTGTTTAGGGGTTCAGGGGCGGCTCCCGGCCCGAGCGGGGCTGGGGTCTGTTTCCCGGCCGCCCCTCCTCAGAGGCTTCTCCCTGAGTCCAACGCTGGCCCCACCCGCCCCGCGCCTGTGTCGCTCACTGGAGAGGAACGCGGGGGGAGGGAGGTGCAGCTCTGGGTGCCCGGCGGGGCCGTCCACCGCCCTCCCCACGCTTTCCGCCGGGTAAATACAGGAAATCGCAAGACTGTGATGTAAGGGCTGGATGGGGGCGCCGCTTCCCGGTGTCTGCGGGCGGGTCTGGAGTGGACCTGCAGCCGGTTAGGCAGGAGCCTCCCTCGGTGACAGCTCCTGCCTGCGGGGCCCCTCGTCCCACTGGCCGCCACCTGACCTGGCTGCTGCGCTGTCCCGGGTCTGCCGGGCCCGCAGGCCTGGTCCCCGCGCAGGCTTCCTTCCCAGACCCCAGCTCCCACCAGCAGCAGCAGGGAAGAGGCCCAAGCTGCCCCTGGTCCGGCTCTTCACTGGGGCGCACCGGCTGGGGGCGTGAGAGGGGCCGGTGAAGGTCAGAGGAGTCCTGCCCCACTCCCCCTTAGACCCCAAGCCTCTCCTTCCTTCCTGGCTGGAGCCAGGCCAGGAGTGGGCTGTCCCCCATCATGCTGGTCCTGCCCGTGGCCCCGGGTGCCAGCCTGCAAGGACCTGTTGTCTTCGTTCCTTCCCCTTCGGGGCCGAGGGGACGTGGGGTTCCTAGCCTTGCCCACTCTGGATCTGGCTGGAGGTTTTGTGGGTCCCCAGCGCTGGTGGCGTGGCCACACCCAGTGCAGAGGTCCGTGCGCGAGTTGGCCCTTGCCACCCGCTGCTGGTCTCTTCCTTGGTTACTGGACGGCGCCCTCCCTGTTACTGTCACTGGGACTGTTACCCTCCACTCTGGTCCCTGAGAGCTTGCCGAAGTGCTGAGTGGGCTTTTTCCACTTAAGCCTTGTAACTTCCCTACTTTGCAGATAAGAAAACCGGTTAGTTTGTTTGCCCGAGGTCACGCTGCAGCTATGGGTGGAGGGCATCACGTTCACCCCAACCTCCAGCCTAACTGTAGCTTCTTACACAACACAGAGTACGGTCTGTGAAGCAGAGATAAGGGCAGGGTCTACCTCAACACTGATGGAACGGTTCACTTTGTTTTTTGAGACAGGGTCTCGCTATGTAGCCCAGGCTGGCCTTGAACTCGCACTGATGCTCCTGTCTCGGCCTCCTAGAGCTGGGATAACAGGCGTGCACCATGTCCAGCCACAGAGCCCTTCTGTGCGGGTGCTTGGAACAGGCCCGGCCGCAGGGAGCATCAGGAAGCCAGGCTCTTGCGGGGACGCTGTTGTGACCTGGCGCAGTGCTGCTTCTCCGGCCACGCACTGTGCCGGACCCGCCAGGACAGGGGCAGGAGGAGGTCGCTGGGGTGACCGATGGCGCTCTTCTTCCTTTCCTCAAGGTCGGGGACCGGGTGATGGTGCTGACCCGGTGGGGCATGTGGCAGGAGGAAGCCACAGTCCCTGCCGCCCACACCTTCCTCATGCCTGAGGCCATGAGCTTTGAAGACGCTGCAGCCCTGCTGGCCAACTACCTGACGGCCTACATGGTCCTCTTCGACTTCGGCAACCTGAGGCCGGGCCACAGCGTCCTGGTACACATGGCTGCAGGTGACCGACCCCCACCTGCCCTCCCCTCCACGCTCCTCCCCAGCTCCCCGCCCCTCCCCTCAGGCTGGCTGGCTTGTTGCTATGGCAACACCAGGTGGCCTCGGCCTGTGGTGCCCAGAGGCTGCTGCGCGGGGTTGCCGTGGTAACACAGGCTCCTGGTCCAACCTGGTGTCCTTGGCAGCGTGCCCTCGCTTACCCTGCCCTGCTGTCAGCCACCCTTCCCTAGGGTCGGTTGTGCAAATTTGGGGACCTGGGTCCCCAGGTGGGCCGGAGCGCAGTCTCTGGGAGGCTCGGACCCAGGTGAGGCCCCACGCCCCCTCCTGCGGTGTTTCGGCAGGCGGAGTGGGCATGGCTGCCCTGCAGCTGTGCCGCACGGTGGAGAATGTGACTGTGTTCGGGACGGCCTCGGCCGGCAAGCACGAGGCACTGAGGAAGAACGGCGTGGCCCACCCCATCGACTACCACACGGCGGACTATGTGGACGCAGTCAGGAAGATCTCCCCCAGAGGTGGGCGGGCGGGCGGCTCCGGGCGGGAGAGGGCCCCGTGTGCAGCTCTTCAAGCACAGCCTGTCCCTGCCCTGTGACAGGAGTGGACATCGTCATGGACCCTCTGGGCGGCTCAGACACTGCCAAGGGCTACAGCCTGCTCAAGCCCATGGGCAAGGTCGTCACCTACGGTGAGCCAGCCTCCCAGCGGGTGGGGCGCGGGGTCTCCGGGTTCTGGACCCTGGGGCAGAACTGTGGAGAGGGTCAGGGTTGCGGGCAGTCCTGGGTCACGCATTCGGCTGCCTGCCTTCTGTGGGGCCGGGTAAACCCTGTGTCTGCTCCGCTCTTGTTGGGGACCATTCTGGGTACAACACTGGCCAGGCTGCCTTCCTCTGGTCCCACCCCAGGCTTCTTGGAGGAGGTGGATTTCCATTTAAAAAGCTGCTTTAGCCGGGTGTGGCGGCACACGCCTGTAATCCCAGCACTTGGGAGGCTGAGGCAGGAGGATCCTTGGGAGTTCAAGACCAACCTGGGCTACAGAGTGAGCTCAAGGCCAGCCTGAACTGCACAGTGAGACCCTGTCTCAAAAAGACAAAAAAAAAAAAAGAAGAAGAATACTGTCACTGTACCACACACGGGGCCAAGAAAAATAAAAAGTAAATTTAAAGATGAAGGCACCTGCTGAGTCAGCTAGGGTTAGGACCCTGCCTGCCCCGCCCTGGGACCAAGGACGATAGGCCGGGGCAGGCAGGTGCGGACTCAGAGAGCTCGGGTCACAGGTGCTGCTGTCCCTGTCCTGCAGGGGTGGCCAACATGATGACAGGCCCCAAGCGGAACCTGATGGCCATCGCCCGCACGTGGTGGAACCAGTTCAGTGTCACAGCCCAGCAGCTGCTGCAGTCCAACCGCGCTGTGTGCGGCTTCTACCTGGGCAGCCTGGAGGAGGACCCCGAGCTGCTCCGCGGTGTGGTGGCCCGGCTGCTGGCCTTGTACAGCCAGGGCCACATCAAGCCCCACATCGACTCCGTCTGGCCCTTCGAGAAGGTGCGTGTGAGGGTCCTGCCAGGAGGGCCCAGGCTCCCCAGGGAGGGTCCTCAGTCCCACTGTTTTGGGAGTCTGAGGCAGGAGGGTCCCAAGTTCAACTTCACCTTGGGTAACTGAGACCGTCTCAAAAATAAAAGGGGCTGGTGGTATAGTTCAGTGTGCAGGCCCTGGGTTTTATCACAAAAAAGACAATTCCTGGGGGGCAGGATATGGGGATCCCTCCGAGCTGGCTCTTGGGGGCCGGATGGCGTCGGGAGCAAAGCTTCCTCTCCCGTTCCAGGTGGTGGACGCCATGAAGCAGTTGCAGGAGAAGAAGAACGTGGGCAAGGTCATCCTGGTGCCTGGGCCAGAGAAGGACTAGTGTGGGCCCAGGGCCGCGGGGATGGGACCCAGAGGCGGCACCAGCCTCCCTGCCCCAGCCCTTCCCACCCACGCAGGAGCTGGGAAGTGACCACTTGGAGGTCTGGGCCCTGCCAGAGGACAGGGCAGGGAGGGAGGCTGCCGCTTCCGGTCCCCGCCCCTGCGCTGCTTTCGTGCCAAGGTTAACGCTCCCGTCTGTCCTGTGTGCCCCTGCCCTGCCTCGACTTTCCTCCAGCCCCGCCCAAGTCCAGCATGTGCCCACCCCTGCTGCCCATCAGCCCCCAGCTGCTTAAGCACAACTGGACATGTCCACCTCCGGGCCTCGAGGCTGCCTCTTCCGGGTGCCAGGAGCCAGCCCCGGCCTAGGCACGGCCCGAGTCTGGGGTCCCATGCCCGCCTGCCACTGAGGCCTTGCAGTCTGCCCTGGGTGCCTTCGTGCCGGAACCTGTGCTGCGAGGTGGGGTCCCGTCCTCGCCCCGCCTCGCCCCGCCTCGCCCCGCCTCACCCCCAGTGCTTTCCGCCCCAGGAGCTGGCTTCCTTCCCCCGTCCGCCCGGCTGCAGACTCCGTGCAGGGCGGGCCTGACGCCTCTGCGCCTGTCCTGGCCAGCGCTGGAGGAGGCAGAGGCAGGCAGCTTTCCCCACTGGGTACGGGTGGCAGTCGGGGCCCTGTCCTTTACGGGCAGGGACGTGGCTTGCAGCTGAGCTCCAAGCTTTGTCGTCATGGAGACAGCGAGCAGGAGGCAGGGCAGCTGAGGTGGGGCTGCTGCCCCCGCGCGGTGGCCAGGGAGGAGGTGGCTCATGGGCTGCACCCCACCACTGCCTCTGTGTTTGTGTCAGTAAAAAGCCAAACCCAGTCACGTGTGCTCCCTCCCGCCGCACCCCAGCTGCGTTTTGTCTGTGTCCCTCAAGGAGCCAAACAGGACACCGGCCGCGCGGCACACACTTTACTGCTCCCGGCCCTAGCCCGACCCCAGGGTGAACACGGCCAGGCCCCGCTCCCCAGGGGGCACCACGGCCACCGCGGCCACCTCTCCACCGCCGCACGTGGGCTTCTGGAAGTGGACTTCCAGGACGTCTCGCAGCTCAGGGCCGTCCAGGACGTCAGGGATGCCCAGTACCAGCACCGAGCAGGGCACTGGCTGCCATCGGATCTGTGGAGGGAACTGCAGCCTCAGCAGGAGGCTGAGGCAGGGTGGTGCCCGGGAGGACTGCAGGAGGGCGGGGAGCTGACGTAGGGTGCTCACCTTGGCCTCCTGGATGACCCCATTCATGTAGGGGGTGACTCTCAGTGGCACCTGCTGGCCCCCCAGTGGCACCTGGAACTGGCCGACCTGGCACAGGTGTTGGGCCACTGGGGACAGCAAGGGCAGCCGGGCATAAGCCTGTTCCTTCTGGGCCACAGGCGCCCGACCCCCAGGCCCCCGGGCCTCACCCCCCTCGTCAGCAAAGCCCAGCACAGCGCCGCCCGTCAGCAGCTCTCGGGTGTCCACGTCGCCGCCGCCGTGCCGGGCCTTGCCGAAGAAGAGCTCCAGCTTGTCCAGCAGCGCCTCCTCGGGCAGCGCCAGCCCTGCCGGCAGCCCGCTCACCAGCACGTGCTTCCTGCTGGCCGCGCTCGCCACCTGCGGCACACGGGGTCACCAGGGGGCTCCCGCGCGTCCACCAGGCCCCGCCTCCCGCCGCCTCACCTGCACGCCAGGCACCACGGGCAGCTCCAGCGGCCGCACGCGCACCCGCAGGCGGCACTCCTCCAGGGCCACCTGGTGCAGCTCCTGTCGCAGCACCTGCTTGGCCACTGGTAGGGAGGACAGGGTCAGTGCCGGCCCCACGCTGCGGCTCCACCCCGCGCCCTCCCGCGTGCCCCTGTGCACCTTTCGGGTCATCGAAGGTCACCAGGGCAGAGCCCCCCGGGAGAGGACAGCAGATACGCAGCTTGGAGACCACGGACCTGGCCGCTTCCTGGGCCTGCTCGGTGCGTCCCCGGAACTCCAGGGGGACCTCGGGCACCGGGAACGGGACCTGCGGGGCGGACAGGGGCTGACCGCAGCTTCAGGGGTGGGAGCGGATGGCCCCAAGCTGGTCTCTGGGTGTTCTGTGGGGAACACAGGCCAGGCCCATGCTGTGTGCTTTACATGCAAGATATGTTTTGTTTCAGTTTTCTGGTTTTTGAGACAGGGTCTCGCTATGTAGCCCAGGCTGGCCTGGAACTCACAGTGGCTCTTCTGCCTCAGCCTCCCGAGTGCTGAGATAACAAGCGTGTGCCACCATGGCCGGCCTTTGTTTGTTTGTGCGGTGGGGGGGGGTCCCAGGGCCTCGGGGGGACAAGGGCACTGCATCCCGCACAGCACTCACCAGGGCCGGGGCGGAGGTGGCCTGCTTTGCAGGTGAGATGGCTGAGGTTCAGAGTGCTCGAGGAGCACGCCGAGGTCACACAGCAGGGAACAGAAGCCCCGGCCCCGGCAGAACGAGGCCCCTGCTCTTGCCCGGACTCACCATCTGCCCCCTGACCTTGAGTTTGGGGGTGACCCTGGCCTCCCTTTTCAGCTGCTGGAGCTCCCGCAGCCTCTTCTTCAGCCTGGCCTGGTCCTCCAGGAGGGCGGAGAGGGCCTGGGGAATGGGAGAGTGGAACTGCAGCTGGCAGGCAACAAGCCCCGTCCCCGCCCCGGGCTGGCCCTGCTCTGTCCCCGGCATGGGTGGCGCCTCGCAGTGACTCCTGCAAGGGCAGCAGTCCCGCCGAGCTGTGGCTGCTTCATTCCTACAGAGCCGAGTGCAGCAAACAGGGACAGAAACCAAGCATGGGGGCTGGGGACTTAGCTCAGCGGCACAGCACCTGCCTGGCAAGCAAAGGTCGTGAGTTCGATTCCCGGTACCAGAAAACAAAACAAAACAAAACAAAAAACGAACAAAACAAAAACAGAAACCAAGCGTGGTGATACAAGCCTGGAATGCCAGCACTCTGGGAGGCTGAGGCAGGAGAATCTCAAGGTGAAGCATAGCCTGGGCATTTGGAGAGACCTTGTTTTAAAATTAAAGAGCTAACAGCTGGGCATGGTGGCACACGCCTGTAATCCCAGCACTCGGGAGGCTGAGGCAGGAGGATCCTTGCGAGTTTGAGACCAGCCTGGGCTACAAAGTGAGCTCAAGGCTAGCCTGAACTACATTTTTTTTTTTTTTTTGGTAGTAGGAATCAAACTCAGGACTTAACACTTGCCAGGCAGGCACTGTGCCACACAGCTATATACCCGGCCCCCAGCCTGAACTACACAGTGAGACCTTGTCTCAAAAAAAAAAAAAAAAAAATTATTTTGAGACAAAGTCTTGCTAAATTGCTAATTTCCCCTGGCTGCGCTTGAATTTATAATCCTCCTGCCTCAGCCTCCCAAGTAGCAGGATCAGGGGCTGTTGCCACCTGGGCTGGGCTGAACTTTTTATACGGATGGTGCCACTAGGCTCCCTGACCTCGCACCCCCACCTCCCTTACAGCTGGCAAGGGGCTGAGTGCCCCCCACACCTGGCCCCACCTGCCAGCCAGGGCTTCCCAGGGCACGCTGCCGCGTCCCCAGCCTGTCCCTTATCTGCCACTTCCACCAAGTGGCCTTTCAGCTGCCGTGATCTGGAACCAGTCCAGCGACACCACTGATGGCTCAGGCGGGAACAATCGCAGCTCTGTGGCCGGGGCTGGCAGAGGCCTCGCGGCTGCGGCTGGGAAGCTGCTGAATAGGGTCCCCTCCGACACGAGGGGCTGCTGGGACAGTCGGCACTCTGTCCACGCCACCTCGGTGTCCCCAGGGTCCGGAGCAGTCCCTGGTACACAGAGGCGTTCAGAAAATGTGTGTTGGGTGAGTGCAGTGAAAGGAAGGTGTGAGCCTGTTACAGAGAGCACTGAAGAAATCCAGTGTGATGCCGGGCGTGGTGGCGCACGCCTGTCATCCCAGCCCTCAGGAGGCTGAGGCGGGAGGTAGCTGTGAGCTCGAGGCCAGCCTGGGCTACACAGTGAGCTCAAGGCCAGCCTGAACTGCATAGCGAGATCCTGTCTCAAAAAGACCAAAAACAAAAAGGAAATGCTGGGCCGGGGATATAGCTCAGTGGCACAAGCGCCTGCCTAGCAAGTGCAAGGTCCTGAGTTCAATTCCCGGTACCAAAAAACAAAACAAAAAAAGGAAACGTTTTGTGGGGTGCGTGCAGTCTTCAGTCCAACTCCTCTCCCTTTTCCCTTCTTTAAATCCTGATCTCACCGCACACCTTGCTTGAAATTCTGCTTATTGAGATTTCCTTTCCCGTGCAGGGCATGGAACCCAGGCCTGGCACACTCTGGGCAGCGCCCCCCGAGCAGGTGCCTCCCTAGCCCCCATGAAACGATTTTTCCTAGGAACAAATTTAAGCAGGAGGTTTCAATTTGACATCAACAGGACGTGGACACACTAGAGAAGATTCCCGAGGAGGGGTAAGGTGAAAGGCGCAGTGTTTTTCTTTGGTTTGGTTTAGGTGCTAGGGTGGGGCGGTGTGTGTGTGTGTGTGTGTGTGTGTGTGTGTGGCCCAGGGCCTCCTGCATGCTAAGCGTGCACTGTGCTACAGAGCCACAGCCCGGGCCAGACTGTCTGGAAGCTGAGGCAGAAGGGTGGCAAGGTGCAGGCCAGCCTGGGCAACAGTGTGGTGCATTCAAAATCCAGCACTGCAGAACAGAAATAAGAGCTCAGGCTGGGCTGGGGTGCAGCTTAGCGGCAGAGCCCTGGGGAGCAGGCACAAGGCCCTGGGTTCCAGCCCAAGCCCCTAAACAACACACAAGGCCAATCCTGGAGGGACAGAGGGAGGAACGAGGGTGAAGAGAACACCCAGACGCTGTGGCTCTAATTCCACCCGGTGCCACGATGGGAGCCAGGCTGGGCTTCTGGCAGCGGCACCGAAGGATCATGTGCAAGCGGGGTATGAAAAGGCACGCCTGTCATCCCAGCACTCTGGGAGGCTGAAGCAGAAGGATCTCAAGTTCAGCTCAGTCTGGACAGTTTGAGAACTTAGTGAAACCCTGCCTTGAAATTCAGAAAGGGCTGGGGATGCAGCTCAGTGCTAAGGTTCTGAGTTTAATCCCTGGCACCACAAACAAAACAAACGCGGACAAACGTGCAGGAGCCCATTTCGAGAGGAAAAGGCCCACGACTGCAGCAGGGAGCCTGGCGGGGGCTGCGGAGAGCCTCCGGTGGGGCTCATCCTCCAACCGGGAAGCTGCCCTGTGTGCGGAAAGGGCCCTGGACTGGACACGGGCAGCAAAGGCAACCTGGGCGGTTCGAGCTCCTTGCTGGCTCTCAGGAGGGGCGGGCTGGCGCCAAGCCCCAGGGACCCAGCTCAGAAAGCAGCAGGTCGCAGGGCGTTTAGTTATTTGGTGGCATCGAACTTGGCAGTTACAAAACAGCCGCGCTTATCACGGGAAGGGCCAGAAGTCCAAGCACAGACGTCCCCAACTGTGACTAGAGGGACCCTCACTTTTTTTGACTCTGCAACGGCAGGAAAGTGACACACAGTGGGAAGTGAACTTTGTTTTTTTTTGTTTTTTTTTTCCGGTACCAGGAATTGAACTCACGACCTTGCGCTTGCCAGGCAGGCTCTGTGCCACTGAGCTAAATCCCCAGCCCTGGAAGTGAACTTTGAACTCTGACCCCTTCCTGGACTACTGATAAGTGACACAATAATCTCTTATGACACCAGGAAGTCATTCAATCCCAAGGGTAAAGGACGCATGCTATACAGAGGACGGTGTCACTAAGACAGACGTAGGCTATGTTAGGTGGATTAGATGCATATCCCCCCCCCCCCCCCCGTACCAGGGATCGAACTCATGACCTTGCGCTTGCCTGGCAGGCGCTGTGCCGCTGAACTAAATCCCCAGCCCCTAGATGCATTTTTGACTTGTGGGTTTTTCCTGTGTGGCCTTCTGAGACAGGGTCTTTCTCTGCAGTGTGGGCTAGCTTTGAAGTCTTAGCAACCTTCCTGCCTCAGCCTTCAGAATGCCTGGATCATAGGTGTGCGCAACCACATCCAGTTTAAGATGTGTTATTGAAGAGTATTTAAGGACCTGAGAAAACACACATTATAAGCCAAATAGCAATTTTCTTTAACAGTACCAGGGACTGAACCCAGGGCCTTTGCACGGAGTTACATCCTGAACCCCCCATTTTTTCATTGAGACAGGGTCTCAGTAAGTCACTAAATTGCCCAGGCTGGGCTTGAACTTGTGACCCTTCTGCCTCAGCCTCCCACAGTGGTGGGGTTACAGGTGTGGGCCACCATACCAGGCTCCTGTTTAGAGGCATCTTGGCTAAATTCTTAGGTGTTTCCAAACTTGTGGCCTCTTGCCTTGGGCTCCTAGTAGCTGGGATTACAGGCATGTGTCACAACTGGCTTTACCCAGCCTAATTCTTTTTTTTTTTTGAGACGGGGTCTCACTGTGCAGTTCAGGCTGACCTTGTACTCACTCTGTAGCTCAGCCTGGTCTTAACCTCAGTGATCCTCTGCCTCAGCCTCCCGAGTGCTGGGATGACAGGTGTGCACCCAGCTAGTATTCTTTTTTTATTTTTTTGGTACTGGGAATCAAACTCATGACCGTGTTTCCAGGCAGGTGCTGTGTCGTTGAGCTGTATCCCCAGCCAGGGCTAGTAATTCTTGTAGTATAATTTCTACAGTTTAACTCTCCCAGTGGGTATGTGGTGAGGAAGTTGAGGATCTTCCCATCTGAGGGGCGAGGAGACTGGGACTAGAACACTCACCCTAGACAGCCTCGACTTGCTGAGGCAACACAATCTGAACGAAGTATGATTTGAAATTTTTTCCTTTCGAAGGGTCTCACTATGCAGTCTAGGTTAGCCTTGAACTCACTGTGTAGGCCATGCTGGCCTCCATCTCGAGGGGAGCCTCCTGCCTCAGCCTCCCTCGGCTTCTTCCCACACTTTTGGACAGAAAACATTCCCAGGATAGAGCCCTTTGCTCCTGACAGACCAGGGGCCACAGAGGGTGAAGCGGAGAAGCCTGGACAGCGGGCGAGGCTGACCGCTCCACGGCGGGGCTGAGCGGCTGTGTGTCCCACGGGAGCTGCTCTGGGGCGGGCCCAACCCTGTCTTGTAGAGCAGAGGCGGGCTGAGAGCGGAACTTAGCTCCTGAGCACAGGGTTAGGTTGACAGGGAGCCGGGAGGTGTGGCGGGCGGCTTCTGCCAGGAGAGCCGGGACCCTTCTCCGGACGCGGAAACCCCAGCCTGCGGGTGCGGGTGCGGGTGCGTGTGTGTGTGTGTGTGTGTGTGTGTGTGTGTGTGTGTCGCGCACGCCTGTCATCCCAGCACTGGGGGCGGCTGAGGCAGGAGGATGGGAGTGCGAGGCCAGCCTGGGCTACACAGCGAGTTCTAGGGCAGCGCGGGCTACACCTGTCTCAAAAAAACCAAGAAAAAAGCAAATTCCCAAGCCAAGGCTTGAGGAGGCTGGGGAGAATTCTTGTGTTGGGGCCGGCCGGCAGGCAGGGGACCCCTCCGGGGAGCGCACAGCTCCCGTCCTCCCGCCACGCGCGCCGGCTCACTCACCGAGCTGAGGGTCCCTAGCGCTGGCTTGGGCTCCATGAAGGACCGAGGGCCCGGCGGGCCTGGCTTCCTGCAGCCCGGGTCCCGTGCCCCGCACGCTGCGGTGCTTGCACTTTCGTTTCCGCGAACCAGCCGAACCTCTCCGCCCTGGGCGGGGCTTTCTGCTCCTCCCTCCGGGGCTGCAGCTCCGCCCGCGCTCTGCTCCCAGGCCTGGCCCGGCCCGCGCTGGCCCCCGCGAACGCGAGAACGCGAGCGGCCGACTATTCATCAGCCGGGACGTGGCTCAGTCACGGCCCGATTCAGGAAATCAGCTCTGCCCAGGGTGTGGCCACGCACGTCCGAGCTTACCACTCGGAGGCCGAGGCAGGAGGGTCGTAAGCTCAAGGCCCGCCCAGGCAACCTAGCAGGATCGGACCCTCTGGATAGAGGCTGGGAGTGGGGTTGATGCAAAGGCCTCGGCTCCTCCCCACGGGACCCTGAGCAGGCAGAGCTGAGCCTGCCTCAGCCCGACTAGGTTGATTCCCTAAACAGCACTTGGGGTGAGTCCCTCCCTCCCAGGGCCTCTGCAGTGGGGCCGAAGCGCTGCGGGAGGCGGCGCGCCAGGCGCTGGGCATCGGGTTCGGATTCAGCAGGGCTCGCTGACCCTGGGACGGGGTGACGGCGCGGAGGCCGGGGTGTCCGGGCAGAGCTGCAGAGGCGGCGGGCTGCGCCCCGATTCCTGCGCCCCCACCCCTCCTCCGGAGACACACAGCGGGCCACAGACATTTTTTTTTTAATTTTTAATGATGGAAACAAAAACAGCTAAAAGCGGAGCTTCTGGAAGAACCACTTGTTCTTGCCGGTCTTGTACCTAGGAGAGAGCGCGAGGCAGTGAGGGAGACGCGCGCGGCCCGGGGCCGGGGGGCCCGCGCCCCGCGCCCGCACCCCAGCGGCGCCCACCTCTCCTCGAACTTGACCTTCGCCTCACGCCGGGCCTTGCGCTTGAGGGCCGGGTCTCGGAAGACGTCCTTGTTGACCACCGTCTTGTCCAGGGGGATGTCCACGGAGTACCTGCGGAGGGCACGGTCAGCCGGGGCGCTCGGCGGCGGGCTCTGACGCTGGCCCAGGAGCCCTGTTGCACACTGGCACCGGCGGCGGTCCAGGGCAGGTCCACGTGCTCCCAGCCACCTGCTCTTTTGGATTTTCTGGGGCGCTCAGTGGGACTGAAACCCAGAATCTGTGTACCCTGAGCGAGCAGGCCGGTGCGAAGCCACACCCCCACTCTCACCAAACTTGCCCTTCGGGACAGTCCAGAAAGACTTCACATTTCCGGGCTCCTCCTGCCTCAGCCTCCCAAACGCTGGGTCACACACAGGCATGCCTGGCCCTATTCGAAACTGGTAATTCCCGGCGAGAGGAGCACGGAGGCAGGCGGCCAGGACCCCAGGCAGGGGGCTGGAGGCCAAGGGGAGCCATGCCCGCAAGCCCGCGCTCCTGCTGCATGCAGAGCACGCACCGTGTGGGCATGAGGTGGTTGTAGTTGTACACCTTCACGAAGGACTTGATCTTCGACCTCTTGGCGATCTTCTTCTTGCCCATGGCGGCCGTCACTTTGCGGGGATAGCGGTCAATCCCGGCCACCAGAGCGTGGCTGTAGGGGCGGTCGGAGGTGCCGTCGTCGATGTTCTGCGCCAAGAAGCAGCAGCGGTCACACCCGAGGGTCCGCTCGGCCCTGTGCGTGCTGAAGGCGCCCGGGCCCCCAGTCACCGGGAAAGGTCCGAGGCACGCTGCGCACCCACAGTGCGGCGCTTACTCCCGGCGGCCAGGTGCGGGCAGAAGTCGCCGCAGCTGAAACTGGGGCGCTGGGCATTCGCCCGTCACACCGCTAATGAAGGGCAGCGCCAGGACGGGGCCACGCAGCCCAGCTCCGGCACCCACACCCGGGCGGGCGGAGGAGGGGAGGGCAGGCTGCTCTCGGGTCTCCACATCAGCCTCACTGGTGGTGGTCTGCGGCTGAAGCCCCAAAACCACAGGGAGACTGCAGCAGTGAGGAACTTCAGCGCCCCAAGCTGTGACCTTTTCTCACTTGAGACAGGGTCTCATCATGTAGCCCAAGCTGGCCTCCAACTCGCCGAGATCGTCCTGCCTCGGCCTCCGAGCGCCGGGTCGGCAGGCGTGCGCCACCCGCCCGGCTGCCGAGGGAGCTGCGGATGAAGCAGCTTCTCCCGTCGCAGGTCTCGGGGCGCAGCTGCGACCGCCCGCCCGGCCCCAGGCCCCAGCACCCGGCCCCTCCCGCGGCCCCGGCCCGCCGCCCCCCGCACCTTCACGATGACGGCTTTGCGTCCGGAGTAGCGTCCGGCCAGGACCAGCACCACCTTCCCCGGTTTCATGAACTTGCCCATGGCTGCAGAGGAAGAGGGGCCGCTCAGGACTCCGTACAGCCCCGAGCCGTCCCCGGCCCGCAAGCAAGCCCAGGATGCAGGCCCGGGACGTCAGGCTCCCCACTGCCGCCTGGCCCAAGCCGCCCGCGGGCTCTGCTCCCGGGACAGGACACGCCGAGAAGCCGCCGGGCACCTAGACACAGAACGCACCCGTGGGGGAAACCCTCGATCGCGGATGGCGGGAGATTAGGAGACCTTGCCCGAGCCCCTACCCACCGACAGCGCTGAGTCGGGTTACAGCGGAAAAGAAGGAAGCACACTTCCGCTAACCTTTGACCCTGTGTCGGCAACGTCACTTCCGGTCCCTCCCCTCAAGCCACTCTGTGTATGATGTTTAGGCTGTGTTGTGGGCGGGAAAGCAGAGCCTGGCAGGGCGGGCATTTGAATCAAACTTTATTAACAGCTGTACCCGTAGACAAGAGCAAAGGAGTCCTGTCTCCGGCTTTGGGAAGCGCACAGAGGGTGTCTCTGCCCTTGGACTTTCGGCTTTACTGTCCCGTCCTGCTCACTGTTAGCGACTGGGAGAGACAAAGATGGAACGAAGGGGCTGGGGATTTAGCTCAGCGGCACAGCGCCTGCCTGGCAAGCACAAGGTCGTTAGTTCGATTCCCGGTACCGGAAACAAAACAAAACAAAACAAAAAAAAGATAGAACGAGGGTCCTGGCCTCCAACCAGCCTGGCGATGTCCCCGCTGCCACAGTCCACACTATGCAGCTGCCAGGCCAGGTCGATCTGATTATACTGATTTGATCCTCACCATGCCCCAGGCGACAGCACTGCGCGGTCCCTGTCCTAGGCCGAAAGCACGGCAGCTCAGAGAGCGATTTCCGCACAGTCCGACAGCAGCGGTGCAGCTGGGACTCAGACCTGAGCCCTCCGACTTCCGAGCCGGGCTGCTGACGGTGCCACCGCACCAAGTGTGCCCGGCAAGTGTCCGGCGCTGCATGTGAGCCACAGAATGTTCAGTCCTCGCGACTCTGCATCTTTGGTCACTTTCCTCCTAGTTAGAGATGAGGGACTTGCACGCAATTCAGAGGATCAGTGAGTTGCCTACCCGAGAGCCACCCCAGTCCGACCTTGCGCAGATGATCCGTCCCATCTAGGTCTAGGTCTGAACCTGTCCAGTTTTCTCCCAAGTGAATTCCTTCCCATCCCTCATCAGGAGTACTTCCTGACGCCACCTTTCAGGCGGTTTTCCAGTTCAGATGGTGCCCCTATGACCCCCAAGAATCTCTGGCTCAAATTCGTGCACCTGGGGTACTCTCCAAGTCAAGAGGAAGACAAAGTGTCTCATAGTTCCTGCTCTTCAGTTTTTTTGTTTTTGGGTGGGTTGTTTTTTGTTTGTTTGTTTTGTTTTTTGTCTTTTTGAAACAGGGTTTGGCTGTGCAGTTCAGGCTGGCCTTGAGCTCACTTGTAGCCCAGGCTGGTCTCAAACTTGCAGTGATCCTCCTGCCTCAGCCTCACATTCCTGCTCTTCTGAACATGTAAAGTCCTACATGGGATTCATCTTGGGGAAGATATGGAGGCATCCCGGCATCCCCAGGTTTCTCTCTTTTTAGTAATTTTATTTACCAGTCTTTTTTTTTTTTTGATACCGAGAATCAAACTCAGTACCTTGTGTTTGCCAGGCAGGTGCTGTGCCTCTGAGCTATATCCCCAGCCCAGTAATTTTATTGATATATCTACTTATTTATTCTAGTTTGAGACAGGGTCTCCTTATATCGTTCAGGCTGGCCTTCAACTCCATGATCCTCCTGCCTCAGCCTCCTGAGTGCTGGGATTACAGGTGTGCAGCACCATGCCTGGCTGTGTCCAGTTGTTTTCTGCTTCTTTGGAACAGGACATTTGGAGGTGAAAGGGCCTCAAAGAGCAGCTGCCTGGGCTCTGTGGACAGCCCTAGTGGAGCAGTGGAGTTGGCTATGTGGAAAGTTCTCCCCACTGCTTGTCCCACAACACCACACTACCTGCCTCTGCCTCCATGGGCTCCTCCCAGCCACTTCACCTGCTCTTTTTTGGTACTGGGAATTGAACTCAGGGCCTTGCACTTGCCAGGCAGGTCTTGTGCTGCTGAGCTAAACCCCAGGCCCCATCTGCTCTTTTGCTCTCTTGGGAAAAAACAAAAACAAAAAAACCCAAAAAAACTTTGCAGTCACCTTGGGCTTTAAGCCGGTCATGTTTTGTAGGAGATTGAGCCCAGGGCCTCACTATGCTAGGCAAATGCTCTGCTACCTAAATCCTGCACAGCCCATCCCCTTTTATCTTCAGCGCTGGCCTTGAACTTGCGATCCTCCTGGCTCAGCCTCCCAAGCAGGTGGGTTATAGGTGTGCATTGCTTCCAGCAGGCTTGTACCATGGAGCTTGCAGCTCCGGGGGCTGCATTTCCACGACCGGTTCATGTTTCATAGCTGCCCAGATGCAGACTTGACTGCTCCCCCAACAAGGACAGCGCCTCTTCTCCTGCACCCAGGGTCGAGCAGGCAGCTGTGGTCTGGGATGCTGGCAGCATCCTCCCAGTTGCTATGCCTTAGGGTTTTGCCAATGCCCGCAGAACAATGCCTGCCTGCCCCCCTCCAGCCAGCCCAGAGCTCTGAGCTGAACTTTTGGCCGTTATATAGAAAACACTTTTCCCTCTTCAGAGAGAAGGTAAAATTGGAGGGTGGGTAAAAAAAGATAAATGAACCAGACCTAGAAACAGCACCATACAGTGAGGTGTGTGATAAAGAGAGCCTTTTTTTTTTTTTTTTTTTTTTTTTGAGCCCAGGCTGGCCTCAAACTCACAGCAATCCTCCTGCCTCAGCCTTCAGAGTTCTGGGCTTACAGGCATGTGCCACCAGGTCCAGCATCGAGACAGAGGATTTGGATGCTCTAGTTCAAATCCCAGCTCTTAGCTGGGCATGGCAATGCACACCTGTAATCCCAGCACTCGGGAGGCTGAGGAGAAGGATCGTTGCAAGTTCGAGACCAGCCTGTGCTACAAAGTGAGCTCAAGGCCAGCCTGGACTGCACATTGAGACCCTGTTTTAAAAAGGACAAACCAAACCAAACAAGAAAACCAAATCCCAGCTCTTTTGTCATCAGGAAAGCTAGAAATCAATGTCACTTCTCTGTAGCTGCTTCCTCTGCTGTGAAGCAGGGATACCAAGGTCCAATCTCAGAAGGCCTTAATGAGGATGACACAAATTGCTCCCGCCATGCCAGCCACCTTCCTCAGTGCTGGGGACAGGACCCGGGGCCCACGCACACGAAGCAAGTGCTCTGTGCCCTGCGCAGTCCTCCTGCCCGCCTGAATGCACAGGAGCTTCTGTGACACGTGCAGGGTGAGCCCAGGGCTGCGCCCGTGGCTTCGTCTGGGCAAGACGCCAGTTCCCAAAAGGGCCGCGAGGTGCCACTTCTGAGAGCAGCACATGTGGTGTGGAACTGTGTCAACCTGGCTTGGCGGCCACCTAAGGATCAGGAAGGCAAAGCTTTGGGTGTGCCTGGGTGTGCCACAGAGGCACGGCCTTGGGCACCCCATCGGTCCCTGGCCCCTCCCTCTCCGATGCTGCCCCTCCTTTGCTTGCTCTGCCAGGACCTTCAGCCACGCTCCGTCTTCCTGGAGCTGGCTGACCACGGACGAGTCCCCTGCCACCATGAGCCAAGTCAGACTTCGGCTCTTTGAGCGGGTGCCAGGTGCTGTGTTCCGAAGACAGGAAGGTGATGGATACAGGATGGGACTGCAGGACCCAGCAAGGGGGTGATGACGTCCAGGACGCTTTATAGTGAATTTCTTCAGGTAGAAAGCCACACCCCCCCAGCACACACCACTCCCGCCAGATCTGAGCAGATCACAGCACAGGAAGCAGACAGCTCTTGGAGCCCTAGGACCTGAGTCAGACGGGGACGAGGCTGACGGGCTTAGGAAGCAGAGCCCAGGGCTCTCTGCTCTGCACAGTGGCTACACAAAATACCGTGACTTTATTGGCAATCACAAACGCATCGTTGTCACACTTCACACTTACGAGTTTGTGGTGCTGGGGACTGGACCAGGCGAGCACGCTGCCCCCAGTGACATCCCTGACCCCCTACACCTGCCCTGTTTACAGGGACATGGGACCAAGTCTAATGAAACAGCAATAATGCAGCTTAAATAAGTAACATGTTGCTGATTACAATTTAAATTAAAATATACATCAAAGTGCACAAACCAAGCGGAGCCGGGCCCGTGTGAGCTGAGTGACCGTGAGGACTCACAGGTGAGGGCCCACGGGCGCTCTGCAGCCAGTGTCCACGGGGACCTGCCGCAGTTCCTGTCCCCACTGCAGGACCGACCAGGCCATCAGACCTGCGCCTCCGTCCAGCTCCAGGACAAGCAGTGCCCGGCGGTCGCTGCCTGGGACGCACAGCGCGGCACAGGAGGCAGACACTTGAGTGCTGAGGGCTCGACTGGGAAGCGGTCTGGGGTCTCCTCACTTCCTGTCTGGGGAGCGCGGAGGACCCGGGGTCAGACACTGGCTCTCTTCCCACTGCACCGCGGGCTCCCTTATCCCACTCCACCATCCCCTATGGAAACACAGCTCCCCCGCGCCCCTGGTTCTGCAGGCAGCGAGGGCGGGGTCTGGCTGGCACTGGAGCGGGGTGGGGAAGCAGCGCTCAGCCAGGACTTTCTGCTCCGGCCCGGGCTCCTGGGCGGTTCAGATGAGGGGAGCCCCAGCACCACCGACAGGCACCTCCGGCCTCAGGAGCAGCAGCTCAGTCCTCTGTGACTGCCCCAAAGACCCGCGGCTCTAAACACCAGGCGTGGGTGCCGGGCTTGGCACGAGCTGTGCCTGCCACTGATTCCTGAGACGCAGGCTCAGTACCACGGGCACACGCCGGGGCAGAGGCTGTGTCGTTCTTGGAACCCGGGAACCCAGGTGCTGTGCGGAGGAGCTCCGCCCCCTCCCAGCAGGAGGGCCTGAACCGTGGGGGCGCCGAGGGGGAGGGCCGCGGACACCGTGTCACCACGCGGGTCCCACCCGTCTCCCGTCCTCAGAAGGCATCCTTGATGTTCTTGAGCTGGCGCACGGCCAGGTCCACGGGGAGGCGGAACTGGAGGCTGCTGAGGCGGCTGAGCAGGGTGAGGGCGCTCTCAAAGCCCGTGTGGGCCATGTAGCTCCAGGGCTGGTAGTGCGGCTCGATGAGGGTCCCCGACTTGCAGATGAGGTTCACCCAGGACACCAGGCGCTGCTCGTTGAGCGCCATACACACCAGCGCCTTCAGCTCGGAGTCTGCGCTGCGCTTGAAGGGGTCATGCTCAGTCAGCACCAGGTGGATGGCGCTCAGCAGACTCTGCTTAGGGGTCACCGTGGCACCACCACCCAGGGGCAGGGCGAAGGCCTGGGACAGCTTGCGGGCAGGGGACTCCACGTAGGCACGGCCGTTCTTGGCATGGTAGTACTTCACGAAGAGCTCCCAGGGGTGCATGGCCTGGGGGCCTGAGGACAAGGCTGGCAGCAGGCAGGCCAGCGGCGCCAGGACCAGGCTCGCCCCGGGGGATGCGGCGTGCAGCCCGTGGGCCAGCAGGTCCCGCACAGCCACTGTTAGCTCCTTCCGCACCACCGTGGTCAGCTCGTCCCTGGCCCCCGGAGATGTGTCCTGGAGGCCGCAGGCGACCGTGTGGTCCTGTGGCTGCTGGTGCAGGGCCAGCTGCTTCACCCTGTCCACCGACGCCTCCAGCCGCTTCAGCAAGGGGGCGTAGTCCCTGTCGGCCTGGCCCCTCTGCCACAGGCTGGGCGGGATCTGTCCTGTGGCGCAGCCGAACTGGCTCACGGCGAAGATCTGCAGCACGGCCAGCAGCCGGCGCGTCAGGTGCAGCCCCGACTCCTGGGCGTGCTTCACGCCATGGGCCTTCGCTGTTTGGGAAGGACAGTGGCTCATCAGCAAGAGGCCTTCTGGGTCTCGCTGTATAGTTCAGTCTGGCCTTGAACTCACTGCAGAGCTCAGGCTGGCCTTGAACTTGCAGCAGTCCTCCTGCCTCAGCCTCCTGAGCGCTAGGACCACAGGCATGTGCCACCATGCTTGGCAGAGACTGAGTTTTGTTTCTGCCCCACAGCACAGGTGCCACATGAAGGTGGGGGCCACCCGAAACGGACCTGGACTTTTCAGGTAATGACACCAGCTGCAGCAACGTAGACTTCACATGCCATACAACGCACCTACTCACGGCGCGCACGCCTTGCAAAGCTCGCACTCTACCGTGCAGCCACACCCGCCCGTGGTTTCCGGGTGTGCACTCACGGTTGGAATGTCTGCATCACCGGCCCAAGCAGCCCTGCGGCACCAGCGTGCGCCGCTCTACAGCCCCAAGTCAGTGCCCATGTGCTTCTGTCTGGTGGCGCCTGCGCCACACTCACCTGAGCTGCTTCCCGGGGAGCCCCGGCCGCTGCCCGGCCCGCCGCAGCCGCCTGCTGCCCTCCCGCTGGCCTCGCACACGCAGGGTCTGCTGCCGGTCTGCAAGGGGCTTCCTGCTTCATCTGCAACCAGGAGATATGAGAGGGGGCGCGAACGGGCACCGGCCCGGCAGCAAACCTACAAACCCCGCCTCCTCCGCCGCGGAGGCGGTGACTGCACCGGGCAGGGAAGTACTTGCCGGGTAAACGCAGCACGGGCCACCCTTTCACAGGCGCCCAAGACTGGAGGTCAGCAGCCTGCCGCTGGACAGGAGGCCCCGAGGGGCCAGGCGGGGATCCCAACTGCCTCTAAGCGCCCTGGCCTCCGCGCTCCCCCGCCCGCTGACCTTGGATGAAGCTGATGAACATCTCCAGGTCGTGGATCTGGGTCTTCAGCTGCTCCACCAGCTGCTCCTTCACGCGGGCCGGGCTCACGATCTGCGTCACGGCCGCGTCCACGCGCTGCCGCAGCTCCTCAGTGGACAGCGAGCCGAGGTCCTCGCTCAGGTTCATGTCCAGTTTCTTTATCAGCTCGTCTATGATCACCTGCCGACACCGCGACACTGAGCCACCACTGGGCAACAGCGAGGGGGCAGAGCTCGCTCCTGTTCTCCTTTTTTTCTGAGCCAAGGTCTCGCTGTGCAGCCCTGGCTGGCCTCAAACTCATTATCTTCCTGCCTCAGCCTCCCAAGTCCTAGGACTACAAGTGTGTGCCACCAGCCTGGCTTTTTTCATGCAGTTGCCTAGCTGGGTTTGAACTTGCCCCAGCCTGCTGAGTAGCTGGGATGAGCGGCGTGCACCACTACACCCAGCTGGAAAGGAACCTCACCAAGGCTTCTACTCTTAGGGATGAACAGGCGCCCTCTGTTCCTCCACGAGAGAAACTGCCACTCTTTTTTTGGAGCCAGGGTCTCGCCTTGAACTATGTAGCCTACGCTAAGCTCAAACGTGCATCGATCCTCCTGCCTCAGCCTACGATTACAGGCACGCAACACCACACCCGGCCATACTGCACATCTTTATACTGTGCCACTCAGCTGTCACTCAGTGCCAGTGTGAATAATCCACAGTGGCTGGCGATCCAGAAAGCTTCGTATTTACTTTCTCTAAAGGCTTTCAAGAGAAGCCATATTGGAAGGCCAGCCTTAAACTCCCAGGCTCCAAAGATCCTCCTGCTTCAGCCTCGCACATACACCACCAAACCCAGCTGGGATGACTTTTCCCAATGTCTGGTCCTTCTAGCTCTTCTTGCCCTACTCTAGACAATGAAAGGAAAATCTGTACGGAACGTCAGGGCACATGGCAACCAAGATATCCCAGTGACGCCAGGATGCAGATAACCTGGCCTTCCCCATGTAGCAGTGAACGGTCCCCTCCATCAGGGCTCCTGGAGACAGGCTGCCCGAGGGCGTGGGGAAGGGCTGGCCTCGCCAAGGTCACTTACTCGCTGTCTCTCCAGGACGACGGACTGTGGCAGGGAGTCATAGCTGCCCTCCTGGTAGGCGAACGTCTCCAGGTCATCAAGCTGGCTCTTGAGCTGCAGGATCAGCTCCTTCTGCCTCTCCCGCTGGCTTTCCAGGCGCTCCCGCTGCTGCTGCTCGCTCTAAGATGAGAAGGTAGCTGAGTCTATTTACAGACCAGAGCAGTGTGGCTGGGGACGCGCTCAGTGGAGGAGGGCTTGCCTCCCACACCCACGGGCCTGGCGCAGCCCCAGCACCAGACAGACAAAACGCTCAGGTGGTAATGACCAGACAATATTGCTTCCAGGATACCCGGATGGGTGACTCAACTCGTGAGACAGGTTCAAGAGCAAGAATGATTTTTTTTTGAGACAGGGTTTTACTGTGTAGCCAAGGCTGGCCTCAAACTCACAGTGATCCTCCTGCCTCAGCCTCCTGAGTGCTGGGACTACAGGCATATGTCACCACACCAGCTTGAATATTGATTTCTTATACGTGTATTTTCCTTAAGAAAACATCTGCCCATCATTGGCAATTGGGTCTAAATACAATGGGGCCTTTTGTTAAGACTACTTCCTGTTTTTCAAAGGTCTAGTTAATCTAGAGAAAACTGATCTTGACCAAAACGGCCTCCCGGGAATGAAACATGCCAGCTACTCCTCAATACTTTGTGCAGTGAAATTCTGCAGACACAGGCTGGGGACACAGCTGAGCTGTACAGCACTCGCCTAGCATACGTCAAAAAGGAGAAAAAAAGGCATTCCCAGGTGTAACACCGCATTTGGAACTAGCCATCTGTACGATATTAAATTTAACCTTAAAATGGTACTTACCAAGCCCTCCAGAGGTAAGGTAGAGAGAAAACAAACAAAAAGCAAAAGATTAACTTTTTGGTCACATATTTTAAAAAGCAGCCCGCTGGCTTCAGCTTTGCTCTGCAAGAAGTCTTCTCTTAGGACGTCCCCCCACCCTTTCTGAGCCTCATCTTTCTCGGAACCCCAGGACCCTTCCTCCACGAGCAAAGGCCTCTGTCTCCTCTAAGGGCTCACTCCCTCCCCTGCACTTCGTGTTCGTCTCCCCAGCTCAGGCCCCGCTCAGCGATCCACTGCTCAAGGGCTCGGGCGCTGACCTCAAATCCCTCGTGCCCAGTGCAGCGGCCGGCACAGGCAGCTCTCGGTACTATTTGTTGTGTGATACTCAACTAACTGAGGTACAGAATGGCAACTTTCAAACGCCGGACTCTGGAGGAAGTTGTCCAGCCAGCCAAGGACAGAGAACCAGGGAAAGAGGCTTGGTTTTTGTTTTGTTAGTATTCCAGCCATAAACCCTGATCCTGTTTCCCTGACACCCTGTGGACTCTGTCACCTGCGATAGCGGCTAGAGTGTGGCCAACCAGCTCCACAGGAGACAACAAGGGCTCTGGCGCTGGGCTGGAAAGAACAGGTGCCATTCCCCGTATGAACGAAGCTAAGGACCGGTTAGGGAAGCACGCATGTGGGAGGAAGCCATGGGGAAGATGGAGCACACTTTCTTTTTAAAGTGTTATACTATTTCTGAAAGTGAAAATGAACAATAAAACGGTGCCATCACCACAAAGAACCTCTGGCGTCATTTGCTCCTGAGCAGGGCCCGGCCACAGTCATTCCATGGCTTCTCTCTTTTTGTCTTTTTGAGATAGGGTCTCCCTATGTAGTTCAGGCTGCCACTGAACTCACTATGTAACCTGTGCTGGCTTCCAGCTCACAGTGATTCTCCTGCCTCAGCCTCCTGTGTGCTGGACTTATAGGTGTGTGCCACCACGTCGGCTACGGTTTCTATCTCTCAGTGTGGTCATCTGAGGTGGCCGCTCCTGCCTGAGAAGCTTGGGTCTGTGCAGCGAAGGGTGGGAAAGTAAACACCGGATTGCTGGGGTAGAGTTCAGATGAAAATAAACAAGCCAGTATCTACTACTGATACGTCTTCCGCGGTAAAACCAGTCTGAGTGAGAAGAGAGCCACGTGCGGGCTGTAACTTGCAAGAGCAAGAATGTGAAAAGCAGCGCCTCTCAATCTCACCATGGACCACACTGCTCTTCCGGGGCCTCGAGGCCGCTAAGGGAACAACTTCCTGGTGCAGCAGAGCTCCATCAGCGTTAGCACATTCGCACAACCGGGAGTCGCGGACCTTCTGGCTACTAGGAGACCCGGCTGACGGCCAAAGCTCTCGCTCAGACGAGAGAGTGTTAAGACTTAACGGCTGTCCAGGTTCTAGGGAAGCATGCGAATTAACCTGAGTTTCCGCGGGTTCCGACTCACTTTCCTCACTTGCTCATTCTCCCCATCAGCAAAAGCGCGGGGCCGCGGCGTGGACCGAGCGTGTGCAAGGCCCTGGGCTCCACCCCGCACCAGAGGTGCTAAGGACTTAGTACTCCACGCCGCACAGGCCAAGCGGGAGCCCGGCGGTCTCGGCTGCCGTCTCCACGCGCCTCACGTCCTCACGCTTTCCCAGGCCTCTGTCCTCCGAGAGCCGGAACCCGTCGCCCGTCCCGGACACACCCAAGGCCATGCGCTCGGTGGCTCTGCCACCCGCAC